GAATGTGCCTATATTTGCTGTGACTGCGCCTAATATAAACCCAACAGTGCCTGACAACAGTAGCTACTCAACTCAAAAGATTCCACAATTAGGCTTCATCTTCTGGCAACTATTTAAAACTTGGCTGTTTATGGGGTGAGCCGGAGCATATTGCGCCACAAAGAAAACCCCAACTTGAGCACTTAGACACGAATTGAAATAAAATAAATAAAATTAGAATGCCTCCCAAAATGGAAGTCTGCAATCTCCCCCAAAATGGCTGCTTCATTCCCTATTTCTGCGCTTTCTCGGCGTGGCATCTGCCATTCCCTTTTCGCTTTTCGACCAGATAGAAAGCCAATTTTATGACTCAACTTAAATAGGCACTTTACTTTTGCTCTTAATGCCTTTTTACGAGAGCCTCGCGCTCGGCGTTAGTGCTCCTTCTTCCTGCGATCCGCGACATTAATGATTGCCACGCCCCTGTCGAAGCTTTATTCGAAAATAAATGGCCGAATAGTCGACGGCAAGTGTGTGGCGCACTTATCTGATTTTACACTTGGCCCATCAAAATTATGACAGTCGCAAAGTGAATCGTTTGGTCGAGACGATCAACTTTGCCCAGCCAGAAGTTGCAAAGTTACAAAGCAGCCATGCGTGGGCCATTTTCCAGAATTTCAATTAAATTTTAGAGAGGGGGAAAACCTCCCCATATTCCGGGGAATCTTTTGCAGCCCCGGGCTTGAGGTCAGAGGCCAGTTGACGCATTTACACACAAATTACCGCCAAGTGTCAAATGCAAACATTTCGACTGTAGCAACCAACAATATTTGCCATAAAAACAGAAAGCGCCGAGCCATCCGCAAACGGAAAAGTTTTGTAATGAAGCAAGAACCCAACTTCCTAGCCCCCCAAAAAGTTGAAGTTTACTTTAAAATTTGCAGCAAAATTTTGAAGCTGGCCTTGGGAGCCAGCTTCTAATTGTTAAATTTCAACATGCGGCCATATATTTAATTAAAACTTTCGCATTCGCTGGCTGCAAGCCTCAATGCTTTATGGTCAATTGTCCCCGTGCACTCGATGGCCGTAAAAAGTTGGCCCGCATTTGTGTCAATTGTTGTAAATAACTGCCACCGCAAATTTAGTTAGATCGAAATGGAATAAATTATCCTGCTGGGCAGGACAATCGGAAATGTGTTCGCCATTTATTTGTGTTTTAATTAGAGAAATTTATGTGCACAATGTTCGTGCATTAAATATGATTTCAAATGAAATTAATGAGTCCAACACAGGATGCTGCTAGCCCGCACAATTATCATAATGATATTTTCAAATGTTTTTACCAGCCTTTCATTTAATTGATGACAAAGCAGAGACATTGAAACGATTAAACAGCAAAATTGCAGAACACAAGGACGATTTAACCTATTGGTTTGGCCAGGCTTTAATTAAATTTAAATCCAATGTAGATTTTTGTAGATATTCTAAAAAGTTACTTAGTTTGGTATATTAACATTATTTTAAGGAATTTTGTTTTATAGAAATGAGTATTTTTAAAAATAATTCTAATATCCAACATTTTAATGCATTTTTGTTACCATATTTAAAATTTTAAATTCCTTAAAATATCCATAGCACAAAAAGCTCTCATATCCCATTTGCTCTTAACCCTATCTATTGTGATTCAAAATTCGCTTGTTAAAAGCGAGACTTGGTAGTCGTTCATATGGCATCACGCATACGCCGTGTGTGCGCAAGCAAACTTAATTAATGTCAAGCCATGATGTCACAAGCAACATAAATATTCCAGGACTGCCACAGTGGGGCGTCGACACGAGCACATGAGAAATCATTGATATTAGTTGAGCAGCGGGATTGCAGAATGGACTGAGAATGAGCATGAGGATGAGGGGTCTCAGCTTGCAGCGAACTTTTGATTAAAATGTCGTAGCAAACCCGAAGAGCAAGAAGCGGGGAAAGTGGCGAATGAAAACTTTAGCAAACACACACAGAAATTGTAAATGTTTCGCAGAATGAAAAGTTGCCAAATCCCACCAAAAATGTTGTTCTATCTGTATGGCCCTGGTGCAACATGTTTGCGGTTGCAGGGTTTGCGTTTTTGAGCTTGGTTTCGGAATCGGTCTGAGTTTCTTTTGCTGTTGACAATGCGCAGCTAGCAGCGGTTGCACAATGCGGAGCGATTGTAAATCCAAAGCCCAACCGCCGGAAACAAGAAAAATGCGATCATGCAACCGGATGCAGGGCAACAACTCGCCGTAAAAATTCAATTACAAAGTCGCCCAAACCATCGAAAGAATGCAAATTTGCACGGCAAAAAGTGGGGCAAAGGCAGTCGGCAGTCGAACAACAACTGGCAACTAGTTCAGAAGCTGTTTTGCGGTCCACCAGCGACCATTACGAATACGTTTACGTATGCCACTGCATAGATGGAGGGCGGAAAACCGGGAAAGCTGGGAAACTCTGAGGAAAAGCTGCATGTCGCAAGTAGTCAGTCACGTGCGAACGTGACGAAAATGCCACGATTCAGTTTTGGCCAGGCCGTGCGTGCCAATGAGCAGCAGCAACACTGAAAGCAGCAGCACCAACAGTACCAACAGCAACAGCAGCAACAGCAGCAACATCAGCAGCGGCAGCAATAGCATTCGCATTGTCCCGAGCTGGTTATTTGTTTGTTTTGTGCGTGCAGGACAAGAAATCCTGACAGCTACTGCACTTGCAAAATTTTCATTCAACCCATAAAACTCTACTTTAAAAATCTTTATTAACTTGACCAAGCGATTTTGAGGTCACTTGTTGATAAACATTATTTTTAGTATTTTGATAGTGAAATAGTTGTTAGCTCTTTACTTAGGTACGCAATATAAGCAGGGAAAATAAATCCTTATTTTAAGGAATAATAACCTAAACAGGACCTACTTTGGAACAACAAATTATACTTAAAATAACCTATGGAAATTTTTTCTAATTGTATATGGAAATCTCATTTTGCTCTTAAAATTTAGCAATTATTTCTGGGTGTATAGATTTAAAAATACATTTTTAACGGAAATTATCTCTGTTTAAAAAGTTAAAAGATATGCCCTTAAATCTTCAAAATATTATATGAATACTCTTTTAAAAAATATTGTTTTAAAATATGGGGTATTTTAGTTTATTTGCAAAACAATATAATATAACAACTGATAGTACATTTAAATCAAAACGTTGTCTTTTCTGCCAGCATAGATACTTGAATTGAAGGAATATTTCACCTAGGCCAAGTAAAAAACTATATTTTGAGTGTGTTAACTCCTGGCAAGCTTCCTCGTATTCATAGGGCTAGGGTCACAACCTCTACAATACAAGAACCGCAAAGCGCAAAATGCGAAAGCTGGCTGATCTGTATGAATCAGAAATTCTGCTGTTGTGTGGCTGCAGTTGCAAATTGCTGTGGCAACACACTGTCTCACACCTCAATTCGAACGATTTCTAAGGTGTCAATCAGAAGAAGCTGCATTGATTGACTCGATTGTTCGAATGTGTCACAGCTGGGTAAATTGATTTTCGAACCTCGGTGCAGTGGGCTTAGGGAAAATTCCTTTTAAGTTCAGAGAGCAAGAGATTCAATTAAAATGCCTTTCACCATTGCGATAAATGGCATATCTGGCGTCTTAGCAACGTGCTAATTAAGTGGCAACTCCACTGCAAACGTGCCCCAGGCGAATTCCATAACTAATTAATGTTGCATTATTCAATGCATTCGATGCATTTGCCTTGGCCACTCGTTCGTTCGGTCTGTAAATTCAATCACCGTCAGGCCAAACACAATAAATTCCCAATGATTGGCATAAAATATTTACGCTGTGAGCCCTGGACAATGACAAACAGGTCTCTGCGGACGAACTGGGCTGACCAATTGAAAGCCAAACATCACAGTTTTCACCAGCTTTTGTGGCCAAGAAATCAAATCAAAAACGAACCTAAATGCATCGCCATAATTGAATTTACAGCCTGGCAAATTCAGCCTAATTGCCGCTGCTAAACAAGACCCAAGCATGTTTGCCAAAAGCAATTATGTTTAATTGTGAAATATTATTCCGTTGCCCCAACGAATTTTACACAAATTACGCAGCTCAAATAAAACCAAACCGAAATGGATAATATGTACTGTGGTTGGTGTTCTGCGGGTGTGTCTCCGTGTGTTTCAGTTGTGGCTGTGTCGGTGGGCACGAAACAAGGCCTTAGTGAAAGGAAAATGGTAGGATTGCATTCTCGGACCACAAAACACATGGTCTAAATTAAACTAATTACGATATCTTTACATTTAGCAAATTATTTTGCAATTACTATATAAAGCTTTTACATAATAGAGATACATTTTGTATCAAAATCGGATATCTGTGAGCAAATATATGAGCTTAAAAGTGCTGCTCTTAGGTCACTTCTTTGCAAGCCAAGAAATCATCAATGAAATTTTTAGAAAATCGATTAATTCTAAAATGCAGATTTTAAAAAATTTAATTGACAGATCTAGGAAAATATTTTGAGAATTTTGAGAGATAACTTTGCTTTTTAAAAAATTAGATTTCTGCGAACAAAATGATGTTGTTAGAACTTTCTCGAATTGCATTTAATTAAATTGGGGCCCTTTACTGCAAATAAAATGGAGACTTGAACATAATTTTTCACAAATATAACCTTTTGTCTTGTGCTATTTGTGCATCTTTGCTAAAGGACCTTTTCAAATTTGTGTATGCTATCAAACTCCACAAAAGCTTGACAAAGTCGGGGCTTAATTAGTTCTGTCACTTTATGCAGATTCGCTGGGGCCCCTCGGCTAATGAAAATCCGTTGTAAAATATTACGTATACGCACGCGCTCGGTGCTCATTCAAATTAATTGACTTCACGCTGTTATTGTTTATCCGACAAACTGTTGCGGCGCCAGCAGACAGCGGACAGCGCATATATTAACACATTTTAAAATGTCACTCCCTCTTTTTTTCGCTCTGTCCTCCACAGACCACACAGCGTCGGCGGACGAGGCCTCCTCCACAGCGGCGACGATGTCGTCGTCAGTGAGGCATATAAATCAAAATTTAATTATGTCACAGGCGAAGGCGGGCGGTGAGCCGGTGCCCGTGCCACTGCCGTTCGCCCAAAGTCAACAGAGTGCCGCATCCGGCGGGGGCAGCAGCATCAGCAGCTTCGACTCGACCAACAACGTGATCGATGGCCAGCCCACGCCGACGCACCTGCAGGAGGAGCCGCCGCTCCAGACGCACTCCCACTCGCGGATCCAGGCCAAGGATACGGCCGGGCCCTATCCCATTCCGGCACATCGGCCGGAGCCCGTGGAGAACCACCTGGAGGCCACCAACGGCATCGAGGGCGGCGGCATGGAGAGCCTCTTCGGCACGCCCATGTACTTCGGCACGGAGAACTCGACGGTGGTCACCACCCAGATCGGAGCCACCGCCCACGTGCCCTGCACCGTCCACCACATCGGCGAGGGGGTGGTAAGTACGCCCCATCCAGCCCCGCCCTGCATTGTTTTAATATTTTATTAAAAGCGAATCCATCACTGTTGCCGTGTTTGACTCCGGCTATGACGATAATGATGACTTTTGTGCCAGTTTCCTTTGTCACCGCGTAGCTTTCTCCTTATTGAAATGGAAAAGCATTGAATGTTAATTGATGAGACTCAAATCGATCCACGCATTATTTTAGTCCGGCTTTATTTCAGTTTACTTTTATTTCTTTTTTGGCTTTATGTTGTGTACGTAGAGGGACATTTTTCAAATTGATATGTTTTATTGAGTTTAATTAATTTAAAATAAAACAACACTTTCAGCTTTCCATTTCAAAAAGATTTCATAAAAATTTATATCATAGCTTAAACAAATCCAACGATTTCTTAACATTTTACCATTCTTTAACTACATTTACATTTCTTATTGGGCTTCAAGTACTTTTTAAAACAATAAAGTTTGCATATTTCTACGTTTCCAATAAAAAAGTGCGTTTTATATTCCCGTACAATTTTCTTTATATATTTTTTTTTAACAGACCCATTTTGTTAATTGATTTTTATTATCCATTAAAGGCTTTGGAAAATATATTTCAGATATTAGTAAATAATTTAAGGTTTTTCGGAAAGTGTTATAACAAATATATGCCGTAAGACAATGTTTATCATTAATCTTCATATGATTGATTAAAAAAAGTTACTTGCCCTATTTTCCTAAGAGAAAATCGGCAATTGGCCAGCATAAACGTCTGCATTCCGGGTAAAGTTTATTTGTTTCCCATTTCCACCTGCCATCCGGGACAGAATTTAATTAAGTCGCTCTGCTTATCGAGGGCACTTGTGTCTGGGGCTTCGTTTCGGCCCAGGGGCAAACTAATATGGTAGTAAACACACAGATTTCGGACATTTTGGCTGAGCGAAATGGCGGCGTGGGTCATTGAGCAGGCGAAAACACACACACAGACGCTGGCCTATAAGAAACGGGGGCGAACGGGAGACAAATTACACCTTTCACTGGGCGAGAGTGTTTGGTATGTGTGTGTTCGGCATTGACATGCCATGGCCTCAAGTGGTATTAATTTTCCGCTTGTCTAGAGTTATTACTCATACGCCGTGGTGTGCGTCACGTCTTGTGTATTTGCTCAAGCCCAAAGACACGGAGGTGTTTATGCCGGACTCCTCCCGTTTAGGCCCATCCCAAATGACCCCAGTGCGTGTTAGCTGCGTGTCTGGTTTAAATTGACGATTTCATAATTGTGCCTTCAAGTGTGCGGAAGTTAATAAGCACTTAAGTCCTCGTAGGCCTTCAGTGTGCGAGTGTGCGAGTGTGTGAGTGTGTTAGCCACTTTGCACGGCTGCGTGCTCAAGTGGGAATGCCCTGGCTTATATGGGCCACACAATGGGCTTGGGTTTTGGATCTCGGCCTAATAAGTCGGCAATTTGTATTAGGGAAATTGTGTTGCATAGCCTCTTTGGGGTTAACAAAATATTATCATGCAGGCCCTCTCCAGCCGAACCCGGCCTGGGGCCGCCGTCCCAGTAATTGCACAGTTCTCAAAGGGAGCCTTGCTTAATTCGCTAGATGCATTCATTAGCCCCATCTTTATAGTGTACGGCGCATCACGCACTCATTGCGTAATTGGCAAACAGAGAGCTATACTGTGTCCCCGATGAGACGGAAACTCAATGGGTAAATGCACAGTGAATAAAGTCCAAGAATGTTTTGGTTTTAGTTGTTAGACAATATGAAATAATAGGGGTGCTAAAGAAGTTCCAAGGATTTCGAAATTAATTACAAAGTAAATCAAAATAGTTAACTGCGTTGTTTTTAGAAACAAAATAACATATTTTTAAGAACTAGCTAACAAACCCATTTTATTTAATTAAGGATACATTTTTGTCTCTGTACCTCCTTAGACAAAAGTAAATTTAAACCTCTTTGAGAGCTGCAACTTCTCCGTCTAAATGGGGAATGCACTTTCATTTCATTTCATTGCCTTGCCATGTGTGTGGAGCATTAAAGTCTTGAGCAGAGGGCTTCGGGCATTATGCGACTGTGAATGTGAATGTGAATGAAAGTTGGGCATGGGGATTCGAATGCAAGTTCAGTGGACAGGAAACGAGCACCTCCCGACCAGACGCAAATGATTTCCATATTTGCGAGCCCCTGCACTGCGGCAGAATTCGCAATCGAAATGCTTTGTCAGGTGCTCACTCCTTTGTCTCTATCGGTTCCGTAAAAAACCCCCTTTTTTGCACACAGAATACACACTAAACATTTCCGCGAGTTTGGTTTTGTTTTGTCGGCGCCTTCGCCGTCGTAAATTTACTTTAGACGACAATAAAATGCAGGAAACATTAAATAAATGAATTGCTTCCTCGAGCGCACGGCTTTGTTTCGGTATTTTGCTGCAATTTTAATTCCTGTCGGCCCACCATTTCCCAGTGGTTGCCTTTTATGAGCAGGGATGACATCGAGTTAATGGGAGTAAAATACCTTAAAGTTAAGCACACTTAATGCTTTCTTTTGTAAATCGTTGTTGACAACTTTCCATTAAAGTAATGCTATTAATTAAGACCATTTTCATCCATATTGCAGACAAATCTGCCTCGCCAAGAATGGAATTTCTCTTGCAAATTTAAAGCCCATAAATCAAATGACACAAACAGCAAGAAGTCCTTGCACACACACACATCCACATTCACACACATGAGTGGAGAAAAAGTGGGGAAGAAAAAGAGCACTTCGAATTAAGAATTACGACACTCGAATGTGGTTGGGCGGACATTAAAATATGTCATTGGGGTATTAGTCGAGAGCAGCAGCTTAAATGGCATTTAAAATAAACTAAGCAAATACGTGTGTCCTGTGTCAGCCGTCACCCAAAGGACCCTAACCTTTTGGCTTTGCCAGTTGCACCCGGCACATATAAATTGAACTAAATCAGCACTCGAGCAGCAGCAACAGTCAGTGCAAAAAGTTATGGTACAGCCATGGCTGGGGAAAAGGAAATTTCAGCGTGTGCTTTGCGTTTTGGAAATTTGGCAACCTAGGGAAGCTTAATTATGAAGTTTAACATTTATACCATAAAATCATGCACTCAATTAATGTTTAGGAGAATTAACTAAATGTTACCAAAATAATCAAATTATTATTTAAGTATTTCAAAATATTTAAATCACAATGTTATGCAAGAGCAAATCTAAACGTAGGCAGAAAGTTGAATGAATTGTTTTTTGAAAAGAAGCGTTAAACAAACCTTAAAGGCTGACATTTAAAGTTTGACATAAAAAACCATTAATAAAATCATCTTAATTAAATCTCTTTTTATTTGGTATTATTTTTTTAAATGTTCAAGTTTTAAATTGGACTTGTTGCGCTTAAAGGACAATCACTGTAACCCATATAAGCTCATGTATATGTCTCTCGACGACTTTCAGTTGACTTGCTTCTGTCCATGGCTTTTTCGCTCCGAGCTTCGAGCCACGCCCCCTTGACCCACCGCCCAACTCCATTTAATTCAGCTTCCTCTGGCGATGCTTTTGCCGATGCCAATGCCGATTCCCATGTTTGTCCTGTTGCTCCTGCCCGTCTGAGTGACTTGAGCGCTTAATTACTTTTTAGATAAATTGTCGTTTTTAATGTCTAGACTCGCCTCCTGTCCCTGGAATATTTTCATAGAGAAAAGTAGCAGTAATTAAATGTGCTCACAGCATGCCAAGACTCTACGGCGCATCCGACAAAGGAAGATGCGAAAAGCTTAAATGCTGAAAACTCGAAAATGTTCGCCTCGCTCGCTCAGATAGAAGGTAATTTATTTATAATTTTCTGGGAAAATGTTCACCAATGCAGATTAGAAAATATATAATTGCGTAAGAGAGTGAGCGAGAGTGCGGAAAGCTTTATGCTGCTGCTGCCGGAGAATTGGCTCTGGAAACACTTTTCCTTCGCATGGCCAGATAAAAATACAGAAATTGGTATTTTATGAAAATTAACGCTGTGGGGGTCCTTGCCCTCCGGTTCGGATAAGTCGTTAAGATAAAAAAGGTTACGGAAAAGTTTAGCCAGAGCAGAGCCAACATAGGTAGTATATATGCAGAATGAGCACATATAATTTGCAAAGTTTAAAATCAGATAAAATCGGAATTGCCCTTGTCCGAGTGAAGTGAAGTCTTGGCCGAAAACGAAACCAAAACCAAAACCTCGACCAAAACCGAACAGAAACCATTTAGTTTGCCTGCCAGCGGAGCGACATAAAAACAAACAAATAATTTAGCCAGCACATTGACGAGGGTTGGCGATGGCAAAGGATAATGCAGGATGTTGCGGGGACATCGCTCTGCCGAGCTTAATCAAAACAAACACATAATTCCTGCACATTCATAATTTTTGCATAGTTTCACCTCCGTTTCTGCCCCCGAAATTCGTTAGAAATTTCGCTCAAAATTTGGCACACACAATGTGTGCATATGTATTTGCGCTTTGGCATGAGTTATATTCCATTGTGGAATTGTTGGGTGAACAAAATAATACACATTGTTGTTCCAGTTCCCCATTTTTATGTGAACTCTATGTGTTCCTCATTTTTTATTGCTCACATTCAGCGGTGTGTGTGTGTGTGTGCGAGTGTGTGTGTGAGTGTGTATGAAAGCTTTAAGCCCTTGCACTCAAGTCTCACAGCAACAAACAAAAAGCAAGGACCTCAAGCTAAAACAGACTTTTTTCACAAGCACTCACACTCATACTCACATTTGCACACTGTGTTGTAGCTCTTTGTCGCTTAAAAAAACATAAAATATTATAAAATATTTTACTGCCAGGCTCAGTTATTGTTGCAATGACCTTCGGGCTCAAATATTATATGTTCTATATATCTACAGCTGTATCTGTTTCTGTGTGTCTGTTGTATCTGTATCTTTTTTTCTGTTTCTGCGTTTGAGTTTATGTTTGCTCAGCTGGAATTACCAGTGAAATACGAAGAATTCGTT